GCTTTCCTCAGTTTCATTCATTCAAAAATATTGGTGTTACTGAGATCTCAGGGACAGAAAGTTCCACACATCTTCTTTTCTGCCACTGGGAGCATAGACTAATGGTCACAGGACTGAGAACCAGGTGCTCTGAGTTCTGTGCCCAGTTATGCCACCTATTACATAAGCAAGTCACTAAACCTCTCCGGGTATGTCTATATTGCAGCTGGAAGCAAGCTTCCCAGCCCAGGTGTACAAGCACGCACTAGCTCTGTTCGAGCTAGCGTGCTAAAAATAGCAGTGTGGACATTGTGGCCCGGGTGGCAACACAGGCTACCCGCCCAAGAAAAAGCCCGAGTCCTAGCTTGGGTAGCTACCCCAAGCTGCCACCTGTACCACAATGTCCACGCTGCTATTTTTAGTGCACTAGCTTGAGCACAGCTAGCACGTGTCTACCCAGTAGGAGAGGCATGCTTCCAGCCGCAGCATAGACATTCCCACAATGACTTGGCTTCCTCAGCTGCAAAGTATGGATAATACTTGCCTGTGCCATGGGGGTTTTGTAAAGCTTAATTCATTGTAAAATGCTTTGATGGGACAGACCACAGCAATGCAAAGTAATATTGACTTTTATTCGTACACCATTATTTTGCTTAGCCTTTTCCTTCAATGCATCTCCCTTACTATATAGCTTGGTAAATTAAAAAGGCAGCACAGGACAATGGAATGTGAACCGAAGGCTGAACTGTGTGGGATATTTCAATTGTCTCTCTGTTCTAAGTGTGCCAAAATGGTTACTCTAGGCTGCGCTTTTTCATTTCAAGTGAGAACCATGTAATCCTGTCTCACCCAAGGGCCAACCAATCATTAGCTTTTCACACAAAGCTTTTGAGCAAGCAGGAGGGTAATAGTACAAAGCTATGTTAAAGCTGTATCACTAAGGAAGTTATTTTACAGGTTGTGGTTGTTTGTAATTCAGGTTAAAATAAAATGGCAATGGGAAGTTGATCTATTGTTTGCATTTGTATTTGCACAAGAAGCTGATCATCTCTCTCAGCAACTCAACACAATCCCTTACTCAACGGAATTGACACACACCCCTCCCTCACACATTCACTCTGCATTCCAACTTGTTACGCCATTCTGGGGTCTGTCCATGACAAGAGGGGAAAGGAACCATTCTGCATCTCCGTTACATGACAGGGAGGCCGGCAGCTGCAGAGCTCTCTGTGCCAAGTATGGCTCTGTGCGTCATACCAGACTGTTATGATGTTGCCTTTTCCAGGCACCTCTTCTATCAAGTAATCAGTTCACTCCATGGAGAAATTATTAACATCTACATTCAATACTGGCCCACTCAGGTACAGCTGCTGCCCTTCCAGCCTATCAGGGACAGCTGTCGACCTCCCAGCAACAAGGCAGTATCTGACCTCCCAGAAACCACTGCTGACCACTTGGCATACTATGGGACATTGGGGTGCACTGAGGCAAGCATGGTTTTGTGACCTCAACATGGGTCCAAGAGTCAGATAGTTCTGAGTTCTATTCCCAGTTCTGCCACCAACTCGCTGTGCACCACAGGCATTTCTGACAGCCTCTGAATCTAATTTCTAATCTGTAAAATAACAGTGGTGATACTGACTGTACAGGGGTGGCGATAGGATTTGTAAAGCCCTAGATAAATGTTAAACATCAGTATTGATAGTCATTTTCTATAAACTGTTTGCCAGCATGAGAGCTGAAAGTATCTGCCATCTCTCTGATGCCAGTCCCATGGAAACTGGGGCAAGAATAACTTTTGTTATAATAGAATAACCCATTTTTTTCATGTTCTCTGCATATATATATTTTCCACTGCATGCATCCGATGAAGTGGGCTTTAGCCCACGAAAGCTTATGTCCAAATAAATGTGTTAGTCTCTAAGGTGCCAGAAGTACTCCCCGTTCTATTTGTTTTTGTGAGATTTTCACTCAGTATTTTATTAACTTTATCTTCACTTGGATTGGAAATTTCTCCTTTGTGGGGTTTAGCTGCTGGGTATCTGCTACAATGTGCAAGAGCCAGTTTTATACAGATTCGTAGCACCAGATCCTGGCCCCTATTCCTTCCCATTTGTGCCAGCCCTGCAGTGCAAAAGGGGCAAAAATCTGGCTTAAATGGCCATCTGGGGAGTCCTCTTACATAGAGGAACCCCTGGGTGGCAAGGGGCCACTATAGCAAAACCCTCGCATAGGGTGTGCTCTGGACTGCAGCATACTATCTTCATCCTGGGCTGTTACTACTGGTGCAAGTGATTAAACCTCAGGCAAGCCATCCTCAGGCTACTCTAAGTTGCACTGGGGGCCTATCCTGCCCTGAGCTACTCTGAGAACCTGGAAGTGGGCAGGGCAGAAAGGCTGAAGTGTTAGAGCCTCATGGCTAAGCCAGGAACCTGTTGCTATTATGTCTAGCTCTTATAGACAAAGAACAACCCCAGTTAACCAAAGCTGAGTCATACCTGCCTCACAGGGCAATACTATACTCTTCACGGCGGAGAGCCGCTCGGCTCTTTGGTTAAGGCTGGCTGACCAGTGACAAGGAAGGAGGCAGTAAAGAACACCAGCCAGCTTCCCCAAAGCCAGCTGGCAGCATGAGGGTGGTTCTGCTCCAGCTCTCCCAAGCCCATGGTACAAGGAGGAGGCAGTTACCTAGCTTAGTACATCAGCTGGACTCCACATGCATTATTTAGCATTCATGCTGCAGTAGCAACTGGATACTCCCATCAGGATCAGGTCCACATTGTGCTGGGAGCTGTGCAAATACACAGTAAAAGTCCCTCGCACAAGCAGCTTATAGTCTGAGACTGGGGTTATGCTAGTCTGAGCATAACCCCTTTAAACCAACTAGTCTGGAAATTCAGCCACTCTATTCTAAAATTCTAGGCCATCTCCTGACTTACACAAGGTTTCAGGTGTCACTAGAGATCTTTGGCACTGTTGGGTTTGTCGCATATGCTGGGCATAAAAACTAATTCAGATGGAGCTAATATTTTTCCACATCTACTACTGTAGCTCTGTTAGCAGTTCCGTGATAGTAAAACCTCCCTTCTTGTTTCTCCCACCCCAAGAGCATCTCTCTGTTTAAGCACTGGCTGGCAGATCATGATGCACTCTAAATCTCTTTCTTGGAAGTTGTACAAGGAGGGGGTGGGGTATTCACTCATGTTGTAAGGAACAAACCACAGGAATCGGACTGTCATGCAGGGGGAAAGGCAGCTAATGAGCAGGACGGAGTGCATAAAATCCTATTTGGATGGCTTCTCTGGGGAACAGCTGTCTCCTTGTAAACATCTTGCTAGCTGTCCAGTCTGCAAGTCTGGACAGAGACAGTTAAAGGAGAGTGCCTGGGTTGAGGGAGAAGGGTGTTAAAGGGGAGAGTTCATTCACTGCACAGCCAAGGGCTTCAAGTGGCAGAACTCAACAGCAGGGGAAACTTGAGCTGAAAGTTTGACCCCTCACATGCTGGAGAGGAGGAGATTTGTATGTCTAGTGGCCAACCGAGATAAACCAGAGCACTAAGGGCGGCACAGCTCCCTTTCCAAAAGCCACAGTTGTACAGTTACTCTATCTGCTGAAGAGCAGCCCCCCTTTTAACATACAAGCAGAGCACATTACCTGGCGAAGAGGAGAGAAGGAAAGGATATGTCCTCACTAGAGCAAAGAGAAAAGGCAGGAACACAAGACAATGAAAGAATCTGAAGACAGCAACCCTACATTAGAAACACTTTGCTGGTATAACTGCTGGCAGACCCTCTTATCATAGATGCAGCTATAGCAGCAAGAAAGTGCTTTTGCCAGCATAGTTTACACCAGATCTGTGAGCGAAAATAAACTATGCTGGCAAAAGCATTTTATGTCAGTATAACCGCATTTTCCCTAGGGCTCGTGCCAGAATAACTCTCTCATAAAAAAAAAATCATCCTCCTATCTGACATTGTTATGCCAGCAGAAGTTTCCAGTGTGCACTTGTCCTAAGAATCACCTACTTATGTCATGTATCAGCATTCAGGGAGAATCATATTCACTAGTTCCTGCAAGTCTTTGTGGGCTATATAAATGTGTATATGGATGTGTATCCATCTTGTATAGCCTCCTCCTCCAACATTAAAAGCCCCACAACACTAGAATGTATTAAACATTAATGGAGTAGTGAAATTAGATCATAGCTACATCCCCAAGCAGAAAAAGTCACTACAGCATAGTATCCTGTGAGCAAAGCATTAGTCCTCTTGGCAAGGATGGAAACTGGTGCTCTGAAGCCCATGTAACCAATCTACTGGCTAGCTAGAGCAACCAGTCCATCTTATATCGCCCCATCAGTACAGCATCCACCCAGCTCATCCTTTATACAATCTATTCAATGCACACTACAATTAACATTGGACAATCACATTCCTGATACTGGTGCTCAAATGACCTGCAGGAGGCAGTGAGTAAGAAGAGTGGGAGTAGAGGTCTGCTTAGGCCTTTAAATTTAAGCCCGACCTATACTTGAACTGGACCCAAGCCCACCCGACCAGAGCCTGAGAGGGTTTAGACATTTTCCAATCCAACCCTGAATCTTTCACCCCAAACCTGAATCACTGCTGCCCCTGCCTGTGGGGTTGGCACAGTAGTGGCTGCATGCCCCATTCCTGCCATCCACCATTGCACTAGGGCGGAGAGGGAGGCACTACGCCTTGTGAGAACACTCGCTCCGCAGCACACAGAGAGTGCAGTGAGATGGCAACAGCCACCAGGAGTGGGGCATGCAGCTGCTGCCACGCCAACCTCACAGGCAGGAGAAGGTCAGAGACAGCCTGACCTGACCGCAAGAAGGTTGGGTTGTTTTCTGACCTGCCTCAAACCTGACACTTGTAGATAGGTTCCATTGATTCAGGTCGAGTTGCAGGGCTCTAAGTGGGAGAGGGTGGGTGATACACTCGCCCAGCCAAAGAGAATTGCCAGTGAGTCTGTATTTAAGAGGTCCGGAGCCTTTATAAGAAAGATCTGAAATGCTGTCTTTTTATTTTTATTTCTCTTTTGTGCCATTTTGTCGTAGTTATGCACAGATAGGCTGCTCGAAAATAAACCCTATGTCATAGGGAGAGAAAAACGCAGGTTCCGCTGATTAAAATCCATCGGAGAGGCAGCTGCCTTGTTCCATCAAAGTCCAAACCAGTTGGTGACTCCTCCTCGCCTGGGGTCAGCTGTCTGCCTCTGTCTCTCGTTCTCCATAAATTGCTTCTGGATGTCTTCGACAGAGCCAGGTTCTGGGGTTTCTTCTTTCTCTGGAAATAGGTTTGGGAACTGAAAGGTTTGTCCCTGACCCTAAAGAGAGAGAACAAATGGTCAGATACACATTCCAGTCTTTCTCTGAAGTAGCTGTGATGTACATACTTACAGCTATATCTGAAAACCACCCGGAAGCTTCAGCTGGTGGAGAATGCTACTTCCCATCTCCCAAGCAGGACAGGGCCCTACACACACCAAGAGCTCATACTCTGCACTGGTTTCCTATTCACTTCTATGTGCAAATCCAGGTGTTGGCAACAATCTTTAAGGCATGAATGCTCAGGAGATGACTATCTGAGATCCATCTCTTATATTATACCACAGTGCATCAACTAAGAGGTGTCTGTATTAGCTCCTAAGATAAGATCAAGGCCAGTGGCAGTGAGCAGTTCTGCCAGAGTCCCAACTTCAGTGAACCATGTAAAGACCATTTATTTTGTTTAGCACTTAGGTAATGGTCTGTGTTTATGGCTGGTTAATTTATAATATAAATGTTATACTTAATATGCCTTGCTGTCACGGTGAGAAGTGCTCCAGTTCAGTCTCAGCAAGTCACTACAGGGAGGGTTGTACAGGATAGTGGTTGGCAGGGGTCTCTCACCAGTTGAAACAAAGAATAGAATGTAAAACAACAGTACAGTGGAAAAAAACTATAATGTACCAACAACGTTCATGAGATAAAGTGATTAAACCTACATCAATCATTCCGCCTAACAGACAAGCTGTTGTAGTATATCACCATCACAGGATCGATGTTTCCCGCTTGGATGGAAAATAAACATCAGTTGGCCTCTAGCTTTTATCTAACAGCAGGAAACCATTATTCTGTGACAACGTTTTATCCCATTGACATTATCTCTATTTCTGAGTATTGTTTGCACCAATTGCAACCTCTTTAAATCAACAATGCAAGCCCTGTCCATTCATTTCAGTATGAAACGCTGCATAATTAAACACACACACAATAATATGGCAGAGAGAGAGATGTTATAAAAATAACACTGGGGCTGTTTTAAAACTATCTGACAAATAAATGCACATTTCTCAAGGTTTTTATATGCATTTATTGCCACTCTATAAACTGAAATTGGTTTTGCAAATTAGAGTGCATTTGTAAAAAATGGGTAAATACCCATCTACACTACAAACACATCAGAGATCCAGTTACAACACAGCTCCAGATGGGAGCTTAATCACATTTCATACCCAGGCTGGCATCAGAGCAAGGCTCAACTATGCTTCCAGAACACTGTTGTGTTCCCATCTACACTTCATTTTAGAACTGAAAATGTGATGCAACTGGGTCTCAGGAGAACAGTAACCATGTCACTTGACACAGTTGTCCTTGTATTGTTTTTTTTATTTAGCCTTATACACTGCATGGCAATTTACAGGTGAGAGATGGTCTAAACCCCAAATGTAGACAAAGAAGTTGCAACTTGCCCCAGTTGAGCTTATCCATGCTTGAACCTACAACAAGTTCAACTAGTGCAATGAGATTCCCAGGTTGTTTCTGTGGCATAGCCTCTTAGGAACCCCAGGAAGTGTATCTACACTACAAAACAATCAGGGGACTGGGTACAGCACAGCTGTCCTACAACAATTAAAGCACAGCTCCATTTCATAGTATAGAATTGGGCCTCATCAGTACTCCTAAACAGTGCTGAAACCATGGAGTATTGAAGCTCCTTTGCTGTAAGTACGACGAAAGTAGCTACACCATTCCCTTAGAAAATGCACAGACTGGACCAGCTGTGAGCACTCTTGCAGCCCAAGGCTGTCCGAGACTTTAGCAGACTTCAGGCATGTTGCTAAGATCCTGTCTACACTGCACAATATGCTTTAATGAAAACAAGGGACAATCATGTTGTAGCGAAATCCCCTGACACAGACAAGGTCAGCCCTAAAGCCTCATTCACACTGGGGATTAAACCATTTCAGCTGAATTGATTTCAAAACAATTCAAGCCAACATGTAGGCAGGACCCAAGCACAAGTTTTACTGGTAACAATGTGGAAAGGAGTGATCTCCTGATGCAGCACAGCCATTTTGGTATGTTTCCAATACTGATATGCTTCCATTATTGGGGAATGAAGGAAAATAGTCCCTGCAGCGTACTAGTGACATCCATTGTGATTCACTAAGCATTGCAAAAAGAGAATGTAGAGTTATGCACAGAGGCTACAGTGGAACCAAACAAACTTTTCGTCCATTTATCAAAGTGCTCAGAGTTCCCATTTCAAGGCTGGTGAAAGTAAAATATTGAGCAGATTAAGTCTATCTGTATCTGGAGCTTTTGAATAAATAAAAATCAGCGTAGACAAGTTGGCTCTTTCCAGCTCTTGTTTTGTAAAGAAATTCTGATTTTGGCTGGCAGCCAGACACGATTTCAAACAGCCAAAACATTACACCCTGGAACTGAAGGTTTATAAATCCTAAGTAACAATACTATGCTGTAATACTGCACTGTAAGACTCTGGAGTGATGAAAGCTGTATGAAAAATAGCTATTGTGCATGCTTGGTAGCTAATTTTCAAAAGCATATTTCTGGGCTTTTTCAAAACTTAAAATATATCAGGAGGCATCCATTTATGTAAAGGGCAGAGTGTACATTCAGACATATTTAAATTCAGTATACCTAAGGCATTAGGTATATTGTTTGTAAATAACATATACAAGTTTACCATTTTTAAAGTAATACAGTAAACAACTGGCAGACATATGATAAAAAGATTCATAAGAGAAATCCTGACCTACCTAAAGTCAAAAGCAAAATTTCCATTGACTTCAATAGGACCACAACGTCACCTCTAACTTTCCATGTGATGGAATGTTGACTGTTACAACATGCAACTGGAAGGCATGTTTCTGGCGTTCTATTCCTAGTGCTCACAATGGTTTGCTGTGTGACCTTCTGTAAGCCATTTAACCACACTGGGCCCCAAATTGCTCCTTTTGTATATTGAAGATAATGCCAAACTCACAAGGGTGCAGTGAGATTTTGTCTAAAAAATGCTTTGAGATCACTGAATGAAGGGGGCTTTAAAAATATATTATATTGTTGTTGGGATAGTAAAACTTGGTGCTAAAAATCTATGTATTGCAAGGATTCAGGGTCTTCCCACAGATTTCATTGTTTTCTACAAATTATAAATTTATATTCAAGAGAGGTGCATGGTCCATTGTTTACATTAAAAAAAGGAAGCAATTAACTCCTCAAATCTAATCCTTCTTCAACAAAAAAAACTTCAAAAACAGAATCCAACGTGAAGCTGCAGAACTGGAATTAATTTGCAAACTGGATACCATCAGATTAGGCCTGAATAAAGACTGGGAGAGGTTGGGTCATTACAAAACCTAAACCTAATTTCCCCAATATGAATTTCTCCCTACTGTTACTCACATCTTCTTGTCAACTGTCTGTAACGGGCCACTCTCTTACTACTTCAAAAGTTATTTTTCCTCCCTTCGTATCCTGCTGTTAATTGATTTACCTAATTAGACTGACCTCACACGTGGTAAAGCAACCCCCATCCTTTCATGTATTTATATCTGCTCCTGTATTTTCCACTCCATGCATCTGATGAAGTGGGTTCTAGCCTACGAAAGCTTATGCCCAAATAAATTTGTTAGTCTCTAAGGTGCCACAAGGACTCCTCGTTGTTCCTTCTGTTTCAGTTTACCCTAGTATAAAGTTCATTTACATAATGGCGATTGTAAGGATTAATTCATGAAATGTTGTTAAAACCTTTGAAGATGAAAATGCTATAATAAGTGCTAAGTCTATTTTTAGTTTACATTTCTAGCTCTTCTGGTTAGGAAGATCGTTTTCAGGGTAGAAATAAAGGTTGTCTTCAGAGAGAAATATCACACCAAGAGGTACAAATTGCCTCCATTCAGCTTAATGGGCTGTTAAGTGATCATAATTAGGCCTTTAAAGTTAAGTGTTCACATTGTTAACCTTTTCACCGCCGAGCATCATGCCAGAAATATCCAGCTAATAGGCTTGTCCAGCACAAGCTAGTTATTATACGTGCTTTGACCTTCCATTTATTTCACAAATTTAGGAATGGAAGGACAGCACAGAAACTGTTCTATAGGAATGATGCAACAAATGTTGAGTTTGCAAACAGCTGAAAGCTCTTTTGATTATTTGGATAATTAAGACGCTTACTACTGTCCTTCAGAATTAGGACAGAGTGATGTTTATAATGTCATCATCTAAAATATGCTGGATTCCTACAGTGTGGGACGTGGGCCAGCAGCAAAGGCAGCTCAGTTTTATAACCTAATATATTTGCATGACTCTCCTTGTGTCTTATAATAATATCTGGTATTAAAATAAAGAGTAGAGCCAAGGAGAATAGGAGACTTAACTTTAAAATCCTTTCTGTAACATAGCAGCATATGGGGAATCTTACTTTCTCCAAAATGCCTCAAATACAGCGAGAAACCCTACAAACTGCTGTCATCTTTGGATGGGATCATTTTTAAAGTGACATGTGAACTGCTAAATACATGCTTATAAGGCACTGTAGCCAAAACATATGTAGGAATATTTACAAAAAAATTCCCACTGGTGCCATCCCTTGTACAGCTGAACAGGTGCTAGCCCAACGTAGACAAGACTGCTCTTCTTTTTATTACCATTTCCATTAGACTTTCTCTAAGCAGGTTTAATTAAAATGGAGGTAAAACCAGGTGTGGATTTCAGAGTCTTCTGCTAAGCTCCACTTGCTTAGCAGAACTAGCAGCTTTGACGATTTAAGGTAATTTTTAATGGGAGAATAGTAACAACTGGACTGACAACTTATTTGGCAAGTTAGAACCTGAGGAAAAAGAAAAACATTCCAAATCCCCAAGAAATAGAATTTAAAAGAGACTGAACTGATATATTGTATATGATTCTTAATAACATACCGTTCATCTTCAAAACACTTTCAGTACATTAGTATGTGCAAGTGCTGTAGAAACTGATGTTCTCCAAAGTAGAGCAGCATGACTGGTCTCTTTAAAATGAACCTGATTTCATCCAGGTAACCAGAGACTTTTTAGTGAAGGAAGTCACACTAGGAAGAGTAATGCTTCCACCTAGTGGTTGATAAGAAGGCCAACACAAAACACTCCTGACCTCTTCAATTTTCTTACACTCTTACACCATTTTAACTTGAAACTGGACTAGAGAAAACACAGCTGGTAAAAATGATGGGGAAGCAAAAAACACTGACTAGTTTGGCCTTAATTGGAGTTGTTACAGATGCAGCATGATTCTAATCAAAAAGGGATTTTGAAGTGCTTAGCAGAGGTTTTTCTACACTATGAGTAGAGTTCTATTTTAACCATGGGCTCCATGGGGCCTAATGAAGGCAAACCAAAAGTTTCAGAATTGACAGTGAGGGCATGAACTCTAGTCCACTGCTGTAAAAGCAACACTAATGCAGAACTGGGAGCAGAGTGAGAGACAGACCAGAATTAGTAATTAAAAAAAAAAAAAAAAAAAAGACACAAAGAGGAGAAATACATAGGGAAGACATGAAAGTAAAGAGTACCAGGGGCCAGGAGGTAGAGCACACACAAAAGAAACAGAAGAGGGCAGGAAGAGCCTGGAAACCTAGAGGTGAGGGGAAGCAGAACACACACATAATATCCTGGCTCAAGGTTCACTGCATTATTTTTCAGTGCCTCGTGTTATTACTTTACTTGTATTACTGTAGGAGCATCTAGGAGCTCTACCTATGCATCCAGGCTCCCTTTGTACAGCGCCTACCACAGTGAAGAGCAAATAAACCATCCCTGCCCCAAAGCATTAGAGCTGTCTCATATCACGGAATGATAAAGAATGGCATTGTTAAACGCTTGCCCCGCACAGATGGGATGTCTGTGATTGTTCCAGGTACAGATGCTTGGCCTGAGGTAAGCACACACAATACTGCTTTGAGTCTGCAATCTATTCCACAACACTGGAGAATTTTGTTTCTAATTACAGTGTAGACATCTTCTGAAGATCTATGCCTGTTTACAGACTGGCTGATCCTTCCTGAAAGCAGAGAATGTGGCAGTGGAAAGTGGCTGCCATTGGCCAGAATGCGGAGCCTGGCCAGGAAATGCAAGGATACCATGCACCCCTGAATCCTCTCCACCCGCAAGGCTCCTTTTAAGTCTTGACTGTGGCTTAGAGAGGCTTCCTCACAGCGGAAGCCCTGAGAAGCATAGACATTATAGTAACGCTGCCTACCATCTCCCAGGGTAAATCTCCCCTGTATCTCAGACTATGTCTTCCCTGAAAATAATAGGTATGTTTTTACATCAAATAGCTATTGCATGTTGTAAAATCCTAGTGGAGACAAGGACCTGGAGTTTTTACCTCCATGTAAGCTAGCGGGAGGTCAACTCTATACACTCCCCAGGAGGGCTGTTACACAGTTGTACATAACAGGATTTATTTTTATCTTGGTCTTTTTAAAAAAAAAAAAAAATGAATAAATTACATATAAAACCCATTAAAAGAACATTTAAGGTTGCAAAGTCAAGCACCAGAACATTAGGAAATGCCAGATTTATGGATGACTATGCAACCTTAATTCAGTTTTCTGTGCATATGCATTACGATCCAGTCTTTCATTACATGATCATATACTATTTTTCCCACAGAACACTTGCTTCATTCAATGCACAGGGTGGATGCACAAGGGAGTAGGATTAAGGTTGTACAGGCAATAGTAATTCTGGCATTTTCTAAGTTTCCAGTGCTTGATTTGGCAATTTTAATAATGTTCTTTTAAGGTAGTTTTTGTGAGTGTAAGTTTTCGATCAAAGAGGTTATTCCAGGAAGAGATCTGAACTATAATATGCTTGGGTTGTTAAAAAAAACAAAACAAAAAAACTACCACAGTTATACAAAATATTGGGCTCCATCTCCACTGGGACACCAACATTTTAGAACCCAGTTTAGCCACAAAGCATACTTGTTAGACATGACTGAAAGCCCACCAAGGCAGTACCTAAACTCTTCCAACCATTCCAACATCCAAAGAGTTTTATTAAAATCACCACCACCACCCCGCTTTATTCTTTAACTTAGCAGACATTTCAGCAATCAGCCACATAAGTGGTGAACCTTTCAACATGCAGAGTACAGGGTCAGCATGAAACTCACTGGCAGACTGATACTCAATGGTACCTGACTGGACCTTAGATTCAGGCTTCAAACAAAAAGGGATTTAAAAACGAATGGTTTGTTTGGGTGTTTCTGAACTAAACTCTTTTCATTCAGACAACCGCATCATGAGGTCTCAAGGGTGGCAGGGGATGACACCATTAGTACATTATTGGGAGTGGACTACATCCACCCTGATTGAATTGGCCCTGTCAACACTGGTTCTCCACTTGCGAAGTAACTCCCTGCTCTCCATGTGTCAGTATATAATGCCTGCATCTGTAACTTTCACTCTATGCATCTGAAGAAGTGAGGTTTTTACCCACGAAAGCTTATGCCCAAATAAATCTGTTAGTCTTTAAGGTGCCATCAGACTCCTTGTTTTTATTAGTACAGGGAAGGCTGAAGTTGCATAAATATACAGTACAAATGGACAATTAACTAAGCATTATTTCTAATTATGCTGATTAACAGACCCTACCCTCACTTCAAACACACATACATGTTTACTCACCAGCTGTACGTACGCAACTTTGTAATCTGGCTTCTTCACTTTCTGGTTCTTGTGGTTCCTTTTATTGTTTGCACCTATTCAAGTGAAGAGAAACACTTTTACTTTCCGAGAGTCACAAGCTCCCCCAACTGAAAGGTTTGATTTGAGTTTTGATTCTTTTGTGGGGAAGAATTCTATCTTAGCTATTTATAACTACACCTCTACCCCGATATAACGCGACCCGATATAACACGAATTCAGATATAACGCGGTAAAGCAGTGCTCCGGGGGGGGCGGGACTGCGCACTCCGGCGGATCAAAGCAAGTTCGATACAACAGTTTCACCTATAACGCAGTAAGATTTTTTGGCTCCTGAGGACAGCGTTATATCAGGGTAGAGGTGTATTACCATAGAATCTGGGCACCTCACAATGATTAAAACATATTTATCCTTTGGTAGGTACTATTATCCCAATTTTACAGACTGGGAACCGAGGCGCACTAGCTGAAGGCCACACAGGAAGCCTGTGGTGGAGCAGGAAATTGAACCCAGATCTCCGCTAGTGTCCTAGCCACTAGGTCAGCTTTGGGAAACCAGTACTCCCAAGGCAGAAAACAGTCATTTATTAAGTGGCTATGAGATCAGTGTCCCTGCTCCCTGGAGCTCCCCATCTAAACTATACACTCTGTAGCGCTAGTGCACAAGTGCAATTTACTGTTTCTGCTTTTAAAGAAATTACAAAATCCAAAAAGTTTAGCAATTTTTAATTTTCTAAAATATAGTGGCTGTGCTTCATTATAACTCCCCAACTAATGACACTTTCCCACTCCCTGCTCGTCTATCTTCCTCCCAACATACACACACAAACAACCACCATCTCCACCAGCCAGGCTAGGCTTTACGGGGAGGTGGAGTGGAGAGGTTGCCAAATTGGGTATGAATATTTTTAGAAGCTGTTTGGAAGTAAATGTGCATAAAGTCAGTATAAAGTTATTTATAAAATAAAAATCTGAAAATACTACACTTGCTCTCCCATTAATTTACTCTCTACTTTTCTCCCCATACACACACAAATACATAACTATTTTAAGAATTTAGCAACATTTCTTCATGTTTTCTCTAGGAATTTTTACTTCCCTCCTGTCTCTTCCTCCTCAGATTTCTCCTGTAACCTTGTTTTTTACCCTTTTTTAAAAAATGTCCGCCCCACTGATGGCCTTCACACACACATCCAACCTGTTCATCCTCTCTAGTTGTGAGATGCAGACTAAGAAAAACATCCAGCAACCCAACACAATTTGACCTGTCGGTCAGAACAAGTTACATTTCAGTTACTTACTGCTTGAAAATCAAGCCGATGACATTTAAAAATCCTGCCCCTTAGTCTGCACCACTCTTCCAATGCATTCCAGCTATGATAACAAAAGCTCCAGGGAGGGGGACATCAGATGCAAAGGTGGTTTTATGGCACCTTTGTGCACCCTAATCCAAGAGTTGTTTGGCACCAGGTCATATCCTGGCATTAATTAGAGCAGACTATGATGGATTTTTGGGCGTAGGGGCTAGGGCATAACCATGACAATTATATTGTCTGGTTGTTAGATAAACTCAACTACTTTCGGCCTTAACTATTTCTTAATACTTTAAGAAATATGGGGGAGGGAGGTTGTTAGTTTGTTTTAACTAATTTTATATAAGAATGAAGGTTGGGGTTGGCAGGTGTCTAACTTCAGAGGGGATAGATTTTATGCTCAGCAAAATGAGGAACCAACAGTACCAACCAGGGGCATGAACGCTGTATAGCTGTAATCGCATCTCACTTTTCATCTGCAGGTTCCTGCTATTACAGTCCTGGGCTACCCTTAGAAGTCTAACAGAATTCTGCCAACAGAATCCCTCCTGCTATTTCAGTCTTGGGTCCCTACCAAACAGAGGCTGCTGATCTTGCTAAACTGTGTGAAGGTTATGTGATATGAAATACAATGGGAGAAGGTAAGGACTGAGCAAACAGAGATACTGATTTTTACCTCATCCCAGGGAAAGGGGGTCCTCTGGCTCAGGGACAAAAGAAAACTTTCTGAATTGAACAAATATGAAGACCAAATTCCACTTTCCCCAGAATAGGACAGTTGAAGTTCACAGATAAAGGAGTTTAGGAAAGCCCAGGACTGGATGACCATAGAGACACAGCTGATCTTCAACCTTGGAGAGGAAGATCTCTCCACCACAGTGATGGGATCTATGCGGTGGCAGGCGGGAGAGAAATTTCACCACACCACCCTCTCAAAATACCTTACTGGAAAATCAACACTTGGGGATTAAAAAAAAAAACAGTTGTAGGCTGAAGAGGAGCTTTGTTGAAAACAAAAACTTTTTAAACATCCCGAAAAGAAGCTTAGCCTCTGCACTCACCATACTGTATTCTGGTCCTCACAACAGACACTGGCACGTTGTATATTTTTTCAAGGTAATTCTTAACATCCACTCTCGTCATCCTGTGCAAAGAGGAAATATTTTGGAGAGGAGGGAAGAAAAGTGTAAATGTTTAAACTAAATTCAAAACAGAAAAAAATATGTATAGGCTTATCAATACTTTAGAGCAAATATATCAACAAGTCCATTTGGCCAAGATAATTTGACTGCCACAAATATATAAACCATACAAACAGTTCACAATGGTTCTATAAGCAAACACAGGCTGCAGCAATAATAACTATTTAATCCAATGTAATCTTAATAGTCAAAAACTCAAATGCCAGTTGTATTCAAAGAGGGTGGATGGGCTCACTCTCTCTATCCTAAGTGGACAATTCTTTTGTTTTCTTTGTAGAAGTCTCTAATCTCTGAAAACAAATGGATGAGTAACTGTGACACACAGTACCCCATGTAACCACTGATAATCACATAAAATCTATCTTTCTATAATCAATAAACTTGTTTTATTGTCTTATCTAAACCAGTGTGTTTTGGCTGAAGTGGTTGGGGAATCTCCACTCAGGTTAACAAAAGCTCAGGCATAATCATTTTCTTTGATAAAATGACGAATTATTAATGAGCTTGCTCTGTGCAGCAGTGTGCTGGACAGTGCAAGATGCACATTTCTGGGGTGCAAGGCTGGGGAACTTACAGGTGTCACCCTGTATATAGTTCGTGAGTGGCTAAAAGAGCATTCATGTAACTTTGCTGGGTGTGCCTTTACATATTAATGGCTGTGTGAGCAGGGCCTGGAGAGGCTGCTTTTCACTAGTAAAGCAGTGTAAGAAGCACCCTGGGCTTGAGAGTGAAGGGGACACAGTGGTTCTGGTTACGCCCTGGGGGATATCACAGCAACACCCTGTCTCTAGGAAGGGGCTCATAACAACCAATGCATTCTCCCACGCCAGTTCCCTTGGACAAATGGAGAGTCTTCTTAATCTACGGAAGAGGCGCTAGGAAAAGCTCATGCTTAAGAAGCTACGGCCTTCACAGCCTAGTGAAGTCCCTGATATAAAAGTTACCTCAACTGTGATACAGTGCCCAAAGCCTACTGTATGTAACACTCAGCTTCTCTATTCCTCAGGCAGTATTTTACAGTTATTGCTCTCAAAGCCTGTCACTACGATTGCACTGGAAACCTATAAAAATGGACAATCTTGTTGCTCCAAAATGTTGCTTATTTTTAAGTGGGACTCACTGTCAAAAATCATTATATACCTAACAGGTGCTCTTCTATAGCACCTTTCCTCAAATAAACTTCAAATCGTTTAAAAATGTTAAGCCTCACAACACCCCTGTATGGAAGGCAGGGATTAAATCCATAGTTGTCAAAACTGAGGCAAAAAGAGCTTTAATGACTTGTCCAAGGTCACAATAAATCAGTGGTAAAGGTGGGAACCCCTAACACCAGACTCCCAAGTCTTGTTCTGATCACTAATCAACATTCCCTTCCTACAGAGTGTGTCGGTGTATTAAAGTATCAATGGGCAGACAATGAGTTTTGTGAAGACAGGGTGCTGTAACATATTTTAATAGTACTGTCCTCCTTGCTGGTCAATAGCTATTGGCACCAAAAAGCTATTGGCTGGATAGCAATCCACTGAACAAGATCCAGAGACCCTGTCTCATAATCCAATGGGATTATGTTTTGAAATCAAAGGAACAGATTATTTAGGATCCTCTTTATCAGTATAGATAGTCATCCAAGACAGGTTCTGCAGCAGCCTACCAGAGGTCCAAAAGTAGTGGTGCATACAGTGAATCTTTTGAAGTGCGTGTTTTTCTCGAGAGTGAGAGGAAGCAGTTGTGAAAAGACAACAAAGTTGGACTCTTAATTTGAAAATATAAAAAAATTAGGGTACAGAACCTTAGCTTGGCTTTGAAGACAGAACTATCACTTGCTAAGTGGATTCACATGCAGCAGCACACAACCACTATATGTTAAAAGCTTCAGGATCTGCAGCCATGCCACTTTAGGCTGTGATCCCATCAGATCACATATGCTAAGCAAGGTCAAAGAGAGTTACATCTTTGCAAGAGAGAACTCCGAGATTACCTATGTGGTGGAGGAAACAGTGTCGATAACTAAATAGGTGTCACTTCTTGCCACCAAATCAGTACAGAACTATTACCAAGCATGTTGTAAAGAGACACTGTTGTTGGAAGAGGCATATTTTGGGTGAGATGTAAAACTCAGCTCCTGAACACTTGTGATAATTAAAGATCTTATGTCCTTTAAATAAGTGCAGGAGTGTTTCCTTAAAGGTCCTACCTAAAATTCCCCTTGAGTTTCAGTTAGATATAGTATTCTACACATTGTCTGAAACTGCAATGTAGTGTTGCTATGTTTCACCCCAGAGATGGCTGCATTTTGGTGAAGCAATTCCAATAAACAATATACATTTTGGTTGGCAAATGGCTTTTGGATGCTTCACAATGAAAGATGTTATCAAAATTGTAGATATTATTTCTAGTTCAAGGAGCATGCTTGCACCTGTGCAACATTCACTGCACATGGCATCCAGGCAATGGGTTTATCTGCTCAAACAGCGGGTGTGAAGTTTCACAACATGGGAGATTTAATAAATTCTAATTACAACCTAAGTCTACTGTAACTAACAATAACAAAATCTGACCTCAAGCCTAGTTAACTGTGTCTCCAGAGATATTGTTCTTCTCATTATTTAGATTGCTATCCCTGAAGGCTTTCAAACTGAGAAGCAGATAACCCTTTCATCTACTGTTTCTCTGGTTGCACTTACTGCATGGAGATACGGAACTGTACAGTGTCTTCTGGCTGTGACACACCAGGCCTCACCAGTGTCATGAAGAAGTTAGGTCGGAAAATCCTCAGCTGGGGGTTTCCCAGCTGGTACAGGGGGTAGCTACAGGGGAGAAAAACATCAAAGTTACTCATAAAACACCAGTGCTATTATAAAATCTTGGTTTTAATTGTTTTACTCCCGGAGTGAAATCACATACTGTACACACAGCAAAGACCATAAACCTCAGCCACAGAACTATGTTATTTCAAACTGGCTTATTCCTTTGCCAGATACACGTTTTTGCACTTTAGTTTTAAAAAACAGGCAGCATGTATAAAGAACAAATCATGTGCTTGGCGGCTACCCTTAATCAGCACCATATGCTATTTCTAAGGAACAAATAAGCCCAGATACATTGCTTTAAATGAGTGTCAGGATTCAACTCTTCACTACCATCCAAAGCAGTATGCAACATCGTCTGAGAGATGTCTTTGCAACAGGGGAAGGGACCAAACCTGTGAGCCAGAAGGTTGTAAGCAGTTTAGGAATGACAGCAAAAGGGATGTGCCAGCAGGAAAAGACGGTAAGCGGGATTCCGAAAAGGAGGAAATGTTAGTGGGACAGCACCAGCATGTGGGAAGAAGGGGGAAAACAAGGGGAGGAAAGGAAACAACAATAAGGAAAAGAAACTGACAGGTCCAGGGAGAAAGCAAGAGCAGAGAACAAGACCAAAGTGCCCCTGACGAGAGAACTGGGCCGCTGTTGCTCACTGCGCTGAAGGGGCTGATGAAGCGCTGCCTGGAGCCCTGCCTATACTAGGGGAACATCTGCACGACAAGTGCCGCAGCTGCAGCGACTCCAATGCGGGCGCGGGGGGGGACTTTCCAGGGCTGTACCGAGCCCCTCCCCCCGCCAGCGGCGGTAGCCAGCACGGGTAGGTCCCGCCCTGCGGGGCTCCAGAGCTGCCCTGTAGGCGCGGGGGCTCGGCCTAGGGGGCCCCTCCGGCCAACTCCCCGCCCAGATTTGGCACAGGAGGCGGGGCCGGAGGGCCGCGGGGGCGGCGTTAGCGGCGCGGTTACCCCCGGAGCGGAGGCGGCCTCCCTGCGCCGCCCCCGGCCCCTCCGCCCTGCTCTCAGGCCGAGCCAGGGGCCGGGCGGGCTCGCGCGCTGGGGGGGTGCCCTGGCGCGGCAGCCTCGCGCCCCTTCGCGCGTGGGTGAATCAAGCAGGGGGGCGGGGCCGGCTACTCACAGAACCTTCCCGGTGGCCATGGCCCCACCGCGCGCGCAGCGTCCCCCGGCCCCACGCGGCCGCGCCCAGCGTCCGTCCGGGCAGTTACGGCGCCCGGCGCGGGAGAGTCTCCCCGGCCGGCTCACTGCAGGCGGAGGCGACGCTATCTCCCCCTGCAGCTCGGGAGGCCTCACTGCACTCGAGCGTTCCGCGCCGGGGCGCCCCTAGCTCGGGCCGGGCTGGGCTGGGCGCGGCGCGCATATCCAAGGCAGCCCCAGGGACGTAGGCGAGGTGGGATCCACAGGGGTGCCTGGCTCCCAGCCACAGCAGGGCTTTTCAATCCTTGTTCCTGGGTGGCAGCCCCCAGCCTTCAAAAATCAGCAGTCAGCCCCTCCCGTATCCCCAAACCTCACGCGATTGCGCTAAAAATCGCCTTGGCTCCCTGGTTTCTGAGCCTGGGGATTACACTGAGCCTAGGAGGGGGTGGGGGTGTCTTCCCGCTGCAACCACCAAGGCGAGACACCTACTTTTATTTTAACTGGAAGTTGAGATTCTCCTGATTCCAGGAGCTGGGGCTTGAAGAAAAACACGGACCCTCACAAAAGTCACAGTAAAATGGTGAGGGTTGGCAATGCTGGTGTAGGTTATGGAACCAAGGGTAAAAAAACAAGAAGCATTTAAGATCCCAGGGTGTCTCAAGGGGAGGGAGTCGATTACTATAAGTCAGAGTCAGAACATTTGCTATGGCCCTGCTTCAGGTCCAGCCTTAAAGGCATTTGAATGCAGCCATCATAGCCTGGGGCAATGTGGCGAAATGGGCTTGTTTGTTTCTTGCACAGGGAATCATCACTCACATCTTGTCCTAGTAAATGTAAACCAGCTGCAACCTGCTGTCTCTGCCTATGTTTTCCAAGGCAGCAGAGTTCAAGACCTCCAGCGTCCTCGTGTATGTGTTTGGTTAGTGGGCAAGGCAAATACAGTAGCTGTGATATATATTCGGGTTGTATTGTATTTGATACAGTGTTTCAATCTAGATTGAAAAATTAATTCCAATTGTCTTGCATAGGAGCAGTATTATGTGGACTAAAAACTGGATCAAAACCTTAAACAGGGCTGTGATTTAAATACTGAGTAGATGGAAGATCTATCTAAGCATGGTTCCTTAGTTCAGGCTTAGGCCAAGTCTACACTTAAAAATTAGATTGACCTAGCTACGCGCTCAGGTTGCCCTGAATGCCATAGTTAGGTCAACCTATCTCCTGGTGTAGATGCTGCTAGGTCAACAGAAGCTACTTCGTCTTGGAGAGGTGGATTAACAACATCAATGGGGGAAAAAACCATTGATGTACAAAGTATCTACACTATGGCACTACAGCTGCATATTTGCAGTGCCGTAGCTGTGCCGCTCTAGCAATTGTAGTGTAGACATACCCGTAGTTAATTATCCACCACTTCTTACTCAAAGAGGGAGTAAACAGCACATTAATGAAATTCACAATGATACTAATTTTGGAGAAGTTGCAAACCCTAGTGAGGACTGAGAAATAATACCAGGAGACCTAGATAGATTAGAAATATGGTCAGAAAATAACCCAATAAGATTCACCTTGGAAAAATTAATGCTACTATGTGCGTGGGGAAAATAGTTCAATGGAAGAGATTGGCTTGTGAAGAAAGATTTAGAAACTGCGCCAAGTTTTCATCTCTAGTTTGACTAAGAAACAACTAAAAGAGGACTGGAAGGGACCTCCTGGGTCATTAAGTCCCGTCCTTTGCTATTGCAGGCAACCCCATCATATAATCCTGATCGTAATTGTATCAAGCACCATCTTAACACTTGTTAGGTTGTTTGTCACACACACACACACCCCACCCCACCCCCCGCATTGGAAGGCTGCTCCAGATCATCACTCCTCTGCTCGAAATCTTCTAATTTCCAGCCTAAATTTATTCATTGCCAGTTTATACCCATTTGTTGTTGTGACAACCCTGTCCTTTAGCTTAAATAGTTCTTCACCCTTTCTGCTGTTTATTCCCCCAATGTATTTATAGAGAACAGTCAATCATATCCCCTCTCAGCTTTTGTTTTACTAGGCTAAACAAATCTCTCTCTTATAGTCTCCTCTCATGAGATAGGCTCTCCATTCCTCTGATCATCCTAGTGGCCCTTCTCTGCACCTGTGCCAGTTTGAATTCATCATTCTTGAACATGGATAGCCAGAATTGTACACCAGAATTGAAGGGTGCAAACACCAGGCTAGAAGAATTACAGTGTGGAACAAAGGAGAATGGTGAGCAGTATTGGGAGACAATTAAGAAAGCAAAACAGTAGGCTAAGTATCCAGCAGAAAATTCCACATACTGAGATCTATTAGGTTATGAAATAGTTTCCCCAATGGAAGTGGTGGAAACCCATTGTTTGGAACATTTAAAACTAAACTGGACAAAATACTAGATAATGTACTGTAGGAAGATTGTATATATATATATATATACACACACACACACACACACACACACACAGAAAACATGAAACAATGGGTGTTAACATGAAACAATGGGTGTTACCATACACACTATAAGGAGAGTGATCAGTTAAAGTGAGCTGATTTGCTCACCTTAACTGATCACTCTCCTTATAGTGTGTATGGTAACACCCATTGTTTCATGTTCTCTGTGTATATATATATCTTCCTACTGTATTTTCCACTACATGCATCCAATGAAGTGGGCTGTAGCCCACGAAAGCTTATGTTCAAATAAATTTGTTAGTCTCTAAGGTGCCACAAGTACTCCTGTTCTTTTTGCGGATACAGACTAACACGGCTGCTACTCTGAAACCTGTAGGGCAGTGGCTCTCAACCTTTCCAGACTTCTGTACCCCTTTCAGGAGTCTGATTTGTATTGTGTACCCCCAAGTTACACCTCACTTAAAAACTACTTGCTTACAAAATCAGACATAAAAATACAGAAGTGTCACAGCACCCTATTACTGAAAAAAATCTTACTTTCTCATTTATACCATATAATTATAAAATAAATCAATTGGAATATAAATATTGTACTTACATTTCAGTGTATAGTATAAAGACCAATATAAACAAGTCATTGTCTGTATGAAATTTTAGTTTGTACTGACTTTGCTAGTGCTTTTTATGTAGCCTGTTGTAAAACTAGGCAAATATCTAGATGAGTTGATGTACCCCCTGGATGACCTCTGTGTACCCCCAGGGGTACCTGTACCCCTTATTGAGAACCATTGCTGTAAGGAACAGTCCTGCATTGGTCTCTGGAGATGGATTGGATGACTTAGCAGGGCTTTTCCATATCTATCCTTCAATGATTGTAGGTGTTCTTTTAACTGTCGATGGAGTTTCTGCCTATTACTGCAGCAAAAAGGAGATGAGACTATATTAGAATGACTTCTTATTAGAAAGGTGTAATTCAATAGCCTTCCTCATTTGTTAGTGAAAAATGTTACCATTTCTGATCCCATTTGGGAACCTAAAATTTCATCCAACTTGGGGGCACCAGAAACTCTGAAAAGTTAATGATAGTTAGAAATATATAAAGATAGAAGTTGGCCAGCACTTCTGCTTCCCCTCTTCCCCATCATGATGAACCAAACACAGGGCAAATAAAACACCCAGTAGAAATCTGACTTCTTGAAGCCTTACTTTACCAAGTGCATTTTATCCTGGGTGTTTTTGTGTTCCCTCAGAGAGCATCTTTGCTGAATCACCCAGATCTGTCATGTTTTAATATTAGATTTTAGACTTAAATTTAAGTTTTCATTGCCCTAATAGACGCTTTTATATAATGTTTGAATGAATTGCACTTGAACATCCCCTTGGAGTCTTTGCAACGTTGGATACAATTTTAATCTATTGGAATTGAATAGAAGAACCCGAAACGGCAGTCATGAGATATATAATTGAAGTAGGTATCGGTCACACTTTATTTACAAAATCCAGAGATTCATACATAGCAATCTACGGGAAGCGGAGGGCTAGTGTCAGGAAAACAAAGGACACATGAAGCAGGAAAGGTGCCAGCAGGGAGTCATCTCTGTTCCACGGGGACCTCCTTCCTTTTAGTTCAGGACGCTGCTGGAGTCCTTAAAAAAGGAGTAGGCAATCCAGGCTGGTGGTGTAGTTTTGCTCAAGCATGGGAGTGAAATTGATTTGAGAAAGGGGTAGGGGGAGGCCAGCGATGTTTAGCCACGCCACCGGGGATGATCCTGCCTGCAGTCACCTTCTGTTTCTTTACTTCCAGCGCCCTCCAACTTTGCCCTTGGCTCCTGCTTTCTTGCTGCTGTCGTACAGAAAGAAGGAAAACACATCAGTGTGAGTGCTGCAGAAAAGTCCTCTGACCTTTTGTCTTTTCAGTCAGCTGCTACTTTGCTGAGAAGCTCTAAACCTCAAGTCAGCAGAGTGAGCTGATCAGATAGCCTATGAATTGGATGCACCTGCTCCAGAGCAGATGTAGCACATTCTGAGGAAAGAGATTATCGTGGTGGGAGCAGAT